CACACACACACACACACACACACACACACACACACACACACACACACACACACACACACACACACACGACCGGTTTCCCTGGGACGGGAAAATGGAAGACACACTTCTGAGAGACATTAGACTAAATCCTGTATGTTGTTTAAGAAAACAACAGAAAATACAGAGACTTTAATGAAATAAGAAGCAGCAGAGTGTTATTATGCATGAATGCGAGAGGAAACAATCCTATCCAGCTGACTCCCTGCAGAAGAACGCATGGGAACAAAACACCGCTGGGTTGAGCAGCTATTCCTCCGATGGGGAAACAGAGAGGAGCAGCCATCTTTCTTTACGTGGTTGAACATTTTGTTACTCACACAGGAAGCTGTGTTCCTCTAAGCAGCTAAACGACATCGACACTGATGACAACAGTAAACCGACAGCAGCCACGGGAAAAAAACACAAGTTCTTTTATTTACAAACTGTCCAAAATATTAGAAAAATACATCCAGTCCTTATTTTGTGTTGATTATGTATTTAGTCTGAAAATATTTTCTCTCTTGTTTATGACCGATTGACTGTCCAGCACCTCCAGGTTTACTCAGAAGGTTGCAAATGTGAAGCAAAGTCATAAATTATAGAACATAATATCAAAAGAAAAGATGTTCATGGCAATGATGCAGTGGCAACTCTGAGACCTTTGAAACTCAAACTTACATACACAGCCGATAACTTCTTCTTCATGCGTCTGAAGCTTTAAGAGAAGATCTAAAGTAAACACTCGTCCCCGTCTTAGACGTCTGGACTGTGAAATAACAGGCTTTAAAGTATTTAGGCTGTTAGTTGCTTTGCCCGCCCACAAACGTATCAAGTCGTTTTATTTCATCAGCTGCACTTTAATGACAACGGTCACACTTTAAAAAATAGATTTAAAATCTGTTCCTTCAGAGATTCACATCTGGCATGATAAACGTTTTATATACACGAGTGGAAACAACTGTGAGCGTCTCTACAGCAAGGAAACAACGCTCCAGATTAAAAGTTAGTGCAGGTCCTTAAGCACCGCTGTGCCGTTTCTATACGTCACAACACATTTCACCCACTAACTCAACTACTTATTAAGAGTAATCAGGATTCTTTCTTCCCTGAGCTGCATCGTGTCGAGGCGTCGCGCCTCAGGAGCTGTTCCGATTGGCCGTCCAGCGAGACCACTCCCCCCCCCCCCCCTCACCGACCCCCAGGCCTCAGAGCCGGAAGCGGAAGCTGGCGATGAGAGGGAGGTGATCGGACGAGTGACACCGATTGGGCAGGCCGTTGACCTCCTCCAGCTCCGACTGGCCAACCAATGACAGCCTGCCCAGCAGTTGGAGGCCCCGCCCACCCGGAAGTGAAGGAGGTGTGACGACTTCTTGTGAGGAGGAGGACAGGAAGCGGTGTGACAAGATAAAAGAGGATAGAGGGGAAAAAAAGAGGCGAGAAGAGAAGAGAGAGAATGAGAAGGTTCATAAGAGATCGTACGACAATACTTCTTAAATTAAAGAGCTCGTCAGATTCTCCTTGTTTGATCGGATCCTGATTTAAAGCGGTAAAAGACCTGTTTTTGCCTTTGTCAGGTTGAAAAGTTGTCGACTGCCACTTTAAATCAGGAGTTTGTATTTATTATGTCACTGTTCTGTAGAAGAACTTTAAATCAAGCATGCGTCTTCATCTAGTTTGAATGTTTTTATCTTTTTCAGCTGAAAACAAAAGTAAGGTATCAAAAAAAAAAAAAAAAAAAGTATTTTGGTATTGATGCCTAAAGTTGGGCATGGACTCCAGTATGTATACTGATAACACCCTGGTGAGGAAAGTGATCTCAGAGTGTGTGTGTGTGTAGTACCGGGGGTGTACAGGATGTAATCCACAGTGATGGCGGTGCGAGAGTGAAAGGTGGTGATCTCAGGTCTCCCATCGGGCTTCAGGTGGTGCTGGTAGGACGACCGCAGCTTCAGACTGTGCTCGATCCTCGCTCTAACACACACACACACACACACACACACACACACGGTTACTGTGTGTTTGACTTAGATCTGGGTTATTTATCAGACATTATGAAGGGAGGGAGAGATTTCACCTGTTAGAAGCAGCAGCAGCTGCAGCTTTGGTGGCGAGATCCTCGACGGTCAGATTAGAGATCGCTCCTTCTACTGCGGAGAGAGAGTCAGACGTCAACTAAACATCCGATGTCAGCCGAGTTCAACCACAACAGAACCAGTCTAAGGAGCAGTAACAGGATTGAGACCACTCTTATCTTTGTTACGGATTAAACAAACAAGATAACTCGTGTTGATCGGTGAGCTTCAGAGGGAGGTGGATGTTACTACCTCTGACCAAACCAGGCTAGCTGTTTCCCCCTGTTTCCAGTCTTTGTGCTAAGCTAAGCTAACCCCTAAAAAAGAGTCTATAATGGGTGTTAAACTATAAATGAAGCCGTACGGTGTGTTGAGTTTGCTGCACCTGTCGGGCTGCTGGAGGACGACTCAGCCGTGGGTTTGTTCTCGTACTGACACTGATGGTTGATTCCCAAACTGTGAGACCAGAGTGGAGACGTGAGGACACGCTGACCTCTGGGACTGTTCTCCTGACCCGACACCTGCACACACACACACACACACACACACACACACACACACACACAAAAATTTAAAATGCTATTCACTGATGAACCATTTGATGGGTTACCTCTCTCATCATGTGTGTATCTCACCATGCTGCTCTGCAGTCCTCTGTACTCCAGGCTGCCTGTCGTCAGAAAGCTGTACAGCGGACTCCGCGGCGTGGAGTTAAAGTCCCCGCACAGCACAACCGGATTGGCCGACCCGTCCGGGAGGCGGGACAGCCGGCCGATCTCGGCCAACAGGATCGCCAGCTGGGCCAGCTTGATGTCGCCGCGGCGCGGGTTGTACAGGAGGTGAGTGTTGGCCACGCAGATGAAGGCCGAGGGGTCCGACCGGCGCTCGGGGTCGTTGGGTCGCAGCAGCAGAACCAGACCCACGTTGTCCCGGTCCAGGAGGGCGTCGCCGGGCCGGAAAAACTCGACGGGATTGGAGGAGAGGAGCGACAGGCGGGAGGTTTTGAAGATGACGGCACAACCGTCTGGTTTACTTCCTGTTCGCTTCTTGTACTCACACTGGTAACCTGAGACACACACACACACACACACACACACACACACACACACACACACACACACAGTTTCATAAATACACAAATGAATAATAAAAAGAGAAAACACACAGACCTAAAATAAAGTGGATCATTTCACAATAAAAGCATATTGACTGCAACTGTTTTAAACATGAAAATACATTTGTACAATTTTTTCCATCATATTAATGTCTTCACTTGCAAAGAGGACACACACACACACACACACACACACACACACACACACACACACACA